TAAAACTCATTTTTATTATTTATCTCGTAAGGTTGAGCCTGGGTCAAGCACAGCTGTGTGGGGACTGGGTGGAGTTGGACTTTCCGCAGTGATGGGATGTAAGGCTGCTGGGGCCACGAGAATTATTGGCATTGATATTAAACCGGAGAAATTCCAACTTGGTAAGCGACATAGCGTGTACTTCAATTTTACATTGGACTCACAATTTTTGCATTAAATGTGAAAATAAGTGATTTTTTGCCGCTGCTTTAAGAGTTATATTCAAATTTAACTCCTCTAAAATTACAAAAAAATTTCTTTTTGTACGTACGAAGTTTTACTATAAGTTGTTGTCAATTACAAATCATTTCAGCGTTTTTCTTTGCAGCTAAAGAACTTGGTTGCACTGAATGCGTCAACCCTAAAGATCATGACAAGCCTATACAACAGGTAGACCAATTTTTCCACAGGCGTAAAAACTATATTTTGATGTTGAATTTATGTCACGTAAGTATTTATTCTTTGTCGCCTTTTACCCTTCAGTCGCTTACCACTTACAAAACTCTGCTTGGCAGTTAAGTCAAACGTAACCTTTAACAACGTTTTTCCTTGGACATTCCGTTTCTAAGTTGTCATGATCAATTTAATTTGCAGGTCTTGAAAGAAATGACTGAAGGAGGAGTGAATTACTCAGTTGAATGTGTTGGAAACGTTGAAACAATGGTAAATAGAAACTCTTGATTGCACTCGTCGACAAATGCTTGAAAGTCTATGGTGTAAACTGACCGCAAGTCGACTTAAAATGAATTCAATCGCGTTAGCTTAATAAATTTTTAGAGTCAGCGCTTGCGCCACTCCAGCAGACGCCTTATTCCGTCACTACCTTCGATTCCGTCATTTTTAGAAACTTCGTTTTGTTGCACAATGCTTGTGGCAAACATTGTTTTGACCGGCATTACCGAACGTGTGTTAGATATAAATCGAGTTAATAGCCTGGAATTCTCAGCAGCACGGTTGAGAAAGCATTCGGCTATGAAAACGGAAATGGCTGGGGCTCGAATCATCTCGGAGCACTCATAACTTTCTCTAACCCATCATTGTGGCAGGTGTTACACATCTTTTTTTTAATTTGCAGTATTTACTACTGCCTCTTCGAGGCGAGAAAAAGCCAGCATGGCAATCAAACTCTTTTTGAAAAATCTATCTTGAACAGAAGTTTTTGTCTTTCCATTTTTCTGTAGAGGGCTGCATTCGAAGCGAGTCACCCTATCCTTGGTACAACTGTGCTTGTTGGAATAGCTCCTCAAGGTGAAGAACTTAAAATAAATCCAAGAGATTGTTTTTTTGGAAGAACCATTATAGGAACTCTTTGTGGAGGTAAGATTTATGATCATAGAAAAGTAGAGAGTAGAATGAATCTCAAAACTCAGAACATTTAGATTCCCCGCCACCGAAAAATGGCATTTGTGTGTAGTTCTTCAGAATACTTCAGGTTTGCTGCGACGATACCAAGGTTATCAATTTCTAACCGTTTCAAAATTGGTTTCACATTCTAAGCTGAAGCTCCTGACTTTTTGTTATAACCTAACACTGATTATATACTCCCCAGATGAAGAAAACTGAACTATGAAAAGTGAATATCTTCGTCTGCTATCTTCGTTCTGTCTTTGATTTTAAATTAGTTTTTCTCAAGTTGTCTTTTATTTTTTGACCCTTGAAAATCACACACGAGACAATTATGGTGCTATTTGTCTGCTCGCCTCCCAAAACGCATCATTGAATTGTGGGGCCTGTCCATTTGACACCACATCAAATTATCGTTCATTAAATAACATTTTGACCTTTTTTAAACGCTTTCGACCAGGATTTAAAGGAAAGGATGGTATTACACAGCTTTCAGAGAAATATATGGCTGGAACATTGAAACTGGATAAAATCATATCTCACACTATGCCGCTGGACAAAATAAATGAGGCGTTTGATCTCATGCATGCTGGCAAAAGGTTTGTACAGCTATTTGACACAGTCGTTATCAATTGTTTACGATTCTGGGCGTAAGAACTATATATTGATGCTGAATTTATGTCACGTCCCTATTGATTGCTTGTTTGTTTTTTTTTTCGCAGCATCCGCACAGTAATTCACTTTTAGGGTATATTTACGTAAACATGCAGGAACTGCAGTGTATGGTTGACGCATGAATCCTTTGCAAACTGCTGATATTTTCAATGGCCGGGAAACAGTGTATATGCGTTAATCGTTAAACGTGAGGTCAAGATGGCTGGATAGTGGCCAAGTCTTGTTTTTTCTGCTTTTTTATCAACTGAGACAAAGTCGAGGTCCATAAGAACAAACAAAAACAAAAAAGAAAAAAAGAAAAGAACGAGGCCAATATCAAACCATCTTGACCGATCAAGCTTGGTCAGAAAAGTGTACATTATGTTGCAAAAAGATTTGCTTTAACATGAATCAAGACTGACTAGTTTATTCCGATAGCCGGGTAAGAAACCAATCGGCTTTGTTTGAAGATCGTACGCTCGCTAGGGACTCTTGTCCTTGTGCAGTCTTCTTTAATCTCTATGTTGGGAACTGTCGCAGATATGCGACATGCAGACTTACCATTATCAAATTGCTGAGTCTTGTAAATTGATCCAAAATTTTGGCATTTTTTATATATTTTAATCATCGTTTATGAATTTATTGCATCTTATATTTGTTTTAAGTTCACGGTGATATCGACCGCGATGCCTATTTATATTATTTCTTTAGGACATTTACTTGACAAGGATCATAATCTCTTGTACTTACCTATTTCCTGTAAATATTTTACTTTATATCATATATAATATTAGTCAAGAGATTATAAACTGTTTTATATTCTCTTTTATTAATATATTCCACACAGGTGAATAGTGCTTTTCGCGCACGCTGATTGGCTGGTTTGGAAGGGACTAGCAAGTACTCCACTTCGTTGAATAATTAACAATTGTAATCGATATTTTGCTTTTTAAAGCATTTTATTACTAGTTTTTTAAATGAAAAGTACGAGATTATTTAGAGATATCAATTTCGATGATCGCGAGATCTGCTCACAACAAATTTTTAATTAATTAGTTTTAATTGTAAGGTTTACGAATTTTGTTATTTAAAAGCGCATTGCGTCATATTCACATGTATAAGGCGCTATATAAGTATTTAGTTATTATCAATGATTCTTACGAATGTTCATATCATGTCTCTTGTTTCGTAACTCTCATAGATATTTTCACGTGTGGACTCACGCTTAAAAAAACTTAGCACAAAAAAATGACGAAATAAGTCACAATGTTTCCAAAACAATCAATTTCAGTGTTTTGACAAGTTCTGTGAGGCATTCCAGAAAGAAAAAAACCAACAAATGATAGTCACTTAGGGCATTCCTTCGGCCCAAGATTCAGTTCTCACAAAACACAGAAAAAGCATGTGCTTTGGCGATCACGTGGGACTGTGGGACCCAAGTGATATCTAATTAAATCGTTTTCGATCCGTTATTCCTAAACTCTCCGTTCCCTAAGACATTCTACCTACAGCACTTTATTTCTCACACTTATTTTCTTTTTTCTTCGTTTTTTACCTCTTTTATTCTCCTTCTCTCTCCTCTAACACTGACTGACAGATCGGCTCTGATCGACTCATGCTTATGCTGAGTAACTGTGGTCGACTCTCTTACTGTGAACTCTATACAGTCTGTATAGCACACGCTTTTATATTTACTATCGGTCGGCATGAGTGGGTATGCCGACTGACCTTGGAAGATCAAGCATTATTTGTCATAACACTGACCTAAACACGTTCAGAAGAATGTCACCAATAATTGACAACGTAGTTACTGAAACAATCAATACGTGACTGCCAAAGCCAAAACAAGAACTTTAGTGTGGGTCCAAGGCAGGGTCAGTAGATAAAATAAACACATCCTCTGATAGAAGTTGGATGAGACAGTCAAAATCTATTGCTAGATATACCTGAACACTACATGTTATCATTTGTTGGCTGTTTGATACCAAAGAACCTTCGGCATGACTTAGTCTTGCAGAAACAATAACTATTTATAAAACCAAGAAAGATTTAATAACTTGACTCTACTGAGCGGACATTTAACAATAAAGAAATCTGAATACAACGTGGACAATAAACTTCAATAGCTGTTAAAGCAAACTCTAAATCTCATCAAGTTTTGTTGAAACACCCTACTATTGTCTCAATGTGAAGCTTTTTACAGGGAGTCTCATGTTCCTGTTACCAACATTAACGAGAGGGGAGGGGAGGGGAGGACAGGGGGGGATTCCAACAATTGTAACAAGAACAATAGCTCCTCAGAACAAGTTCAAGACCAGTTCAACAAAAAGTCCACGATACTGTTGCTATTTACAGGCTGGATAACAGCATGTTCACATTCTCAGCATATTCTTTGCACTGTGGAAGAACTCCTGCCAGTAGGACTGGCTGGAATGTTTCATGTGGTGGAGTAAGCTCTCCTGGGCAGTACAGGTCATTCAAACTCAGCCAGATTAAGTCTGGATCAACTGACGAAAAGTCTGTAAATGCATCAACTGCTGCCTGTAAGAACAATCGCAGTAGATATTAAGTCAAATAATGGTAACAACTTATAAGAGATTTGTTACTTTTAAAAAGTCTTATAAGTTACAAAGCTGCGATTTTGATTGGTATCTGTAGGATGAGTTTTGGGAGGATATCTTGTAAAGGAAATATTCAATTTTTTGTTCCCAAGTAAATTGCTTCAGAACTGTTACAATGTTGAAGTATTGTAACACTCATATGTAGGATGAGTTTTTGGAGGATATCTTGTATAGGAAATATTCAATTTTTTGTAACCAAGTAAATTGTATCAAAACTGTTACAATGTTGAAGTATTGTAACACTTCACTGTCAAGGTCTATTGCTACATTTGCATATTGCACGTCAAATCAAGTCTCTGGGTTTGGTCGTCAAGTGACCCTCCCACATGGATGTGATTGGTTATTGTTCAGGGCCCCCTTTTTTTAACCAGTTACATAGGAAATTAAAGCAATTTGAAAACACCTTACGCAGATAATTCTATATGGTAAGGTTTGCTTAATAAATTATAGCCTAGGAACAAGCTTGTGCTCTGCTCATGGTTATGCTCTGTGCTTTTATCACATACTTGTTGAAGTAGCTTAGGCTGTCGGCAGCTGAGGTACTGGGTACAAACCCACACTACAGAACAAAGCATTGTTTCACCAATTTCTAACTGTTTACACAACCGACCCAGGCTCTTCAACATGGCCAGCTGCTGCTTGAATGACTGAGACTGAGAGTAGACTGGGCCGGCCTTTAGGCTCACTGATGCCTGTTTATCAAGAAAAGCAATCATGGATGGAATGGTGTCCTTGATAACTCGACGGTACATAAAGCTTCCTGATGCTTCACACATGGTGCACAAGACAGAAACAGCCTTGATTGTTACCACCTGCAACAAGAACATGCAATGTTAGGTGGGAGACAAATGAAACAGTTTACTTCTTGTTTAATCATGGTAATTTGTGCATGTTATTAATGGCACACAGTCATTAGCTCTTCAGATTTGGTTGCATAGTAAGTAGGTAAAGTCAGATCAATGTCAGTATCTGAGAAACTGAGCACCTAACCTTCCCCTAACCCAATGATGATCAACTGATAAAAAAATTGTGTTAATGTTTGGTTGAGGGAGGGGTAAGCGCGCAGTTGCTCAGATACTGATATTAACCCATTAAGTCTGTACTTGAGGGAAAGAGGAAAAAAAAAATAAATTGTCATATTATGGTATGACAGTTTTTGCCCTTTTGACAAGGCACTTTTTGCAAAATTGCAAACAAGGAGTTGGAGACAATGGATAGAAACAAATAAAATAGTGAGAAAAAACTTCCATCTCATTTACCTGTTCATCATCTGTGAATCTCTTAACCATTGGTGGCCACAGGCGATGAATCATGGGAAGGAGTTGGTCTTCTGACTGGCTAATGGCTTGAACGCCAATGTCAATTGTATCCAGCACTAAGAGACGTAGCCATGGAGACTTTGATGACAGGAAATGTACACACTTTTCCAGCACCTACATAACAAAAAGTAATCCATGCAGATTTCATATCCAGTTTATACTGGATTCCTTAGAAGAATTCATTAATTACAGATCCTTTCATACTATTTGCAATAAAACCATCTTTCCAAACCCAAATGCAACCATCTTGATATATTAATATCAATACTATTATTTTTGCAAAAGAAACAGAGTTGATAAGTGTAAATTGGCCACTGTTAGGAGTTTCAAAGCTGATGTATCCAGTATTAGCCTGCTCTGACAAAGGACTAACACTCAAAAAAGCCAGCTTTGAAACTCTATTAGTATCATTGGTATTATTGACCCAGCTGATAATACTAAATTACTTTGTTACACCCTTCCACTGACGCAGCACCACAGTTTCTTTAGAAACTTACCCACTTTAACCATTTGCACCCTAACATCAGTATGCATATTCTCCATGCTGTTCTATAACTTTCCTTAGGTGGTTACAGGGAGAATTTGTTTACCAATCAAGAACCTCTTTGATTGGTTTCATTCCCTTTATCCTTGTGACCTTAATGTTTGATCCAGGAGTGATATTGCATGCCAAGGAGAAATTAGATGCTAGTCTCCATTAGGGGTTCAAGGGTAAAGTTGTGGCGTTTCAGACTTGATGTAATCAAGAGACTATTACACAATGTAAATGTGCATAAAGAAATAATAAAAACAGCCTAGGATTCATTATTTAGTCTCTTTTTTCTCACTTTACTTTTTTCTAAGCCTTGAAAACTAGTTTGAAAATTTCATCTCTTTTAACTGGATTCCCGAAAAAAGCCCACCACTAAGACAAAGTAATATTTACATCCATACATTGCAAACTGGCTCACCATTGTTACATATTTAACATGTCTTGGCACTTCAGGTCTCTTGTCTGCCTCAAACTGTTCCTCTTCAATCTTTTCCTCCCATTCTTTTGCTTCTGTTCCCTCAAGGTCTTTTTCATCCACATATCCCATGGCTTGTTGCTTTCTTTTGTGATAATCCAGGAAATATTGCCGTATCTGGTCTGGTGATGTGTTAGTATCCTCATCTTTGTCAAACTTAGAATTATGACCCTCTTGACAGATGCTACTTGATTTCTATGCAAATCAGCAATAAAATCAGCAAGCATTAAGTAAAGAAAGCCTAACTCATCACAGTCAAGAAAAACAAATGAAATAAAAGATTTGGTATGAACCCCAGTCTTCTCTATGCATCATGTGGTCCTGGAAGAGACACTTTCAGTTAACTTATATTCTCCCCAGGGTTGTCAAAAAGATTTTGAGTAACCAGGCTGTGAATCACAAAGTAGACAGCCTTAAGGGTCATCAACATCATGATTTCCTGCTGAAAATTGAGCTACAGGCCTTTGGAATAACTGGTAAGTTTTCCAGAAAAAACAGAGAAATGAGCCAGTTGTTGGATTGTTTTGACCAACCTGTCCCACTGTCTAGGAATTTTGACAAAATCATTTGGGGCAAACTATAATGGACTATGTCAAACATACTGCCCAGCAGAAGTAGCAATACTCCAAGCAGTATTCAGATATGGATCACTTTAAGCTTTCTTATACCCTAATATTCAAGTATCAACCCTTAATATACTGATACTATAATTATGTGTCTTAAATATATTTTACAAATAAATCATTATATTTTGTAATGAACTTGGTTGATTGTAGAAACAAAGGTTTGTGAGTACAACTTGTACCTCTTCCTTAGGCTCCTTGATCACTTCTTCTTTAACTGGAGCTGGAAACCACTTCTTTATCATAAGAACCAGGACATTTAACACTTTCATCAAAAGGTACAGTAACTCATCAGGATAGAGATCAATAACTGAAAATATATCCATGAGGGTGTCCTCGATAATGGAAAGAATTCCTGGGTTACTGTACTGGATCATCACTCTTAGCACACAAGGAGCTTGACAGTTCATGAAAACATACTTGAAATCCAGAGATATAGCATTCACTAGGTAGTCAGCATTTCTGGCAATCAGGTCATCCACTGATTCATACTCACAGCTCTGGCAAATCTTCACCAGAGTCTCATATGCTGAGCGACTTACAGTGGCATTGTCACTTCCTAGCTTAGCCATGATGGGGTAAAGAACCTGCATTAAGAATGCCTCAAATTGCGAAGGAATAACAGTGGAAAACACTCCAATTGCTTCCAGCAACAAACAGCTGAGTTGCACATTGCTATTCAAGACTTCAAAAGGTAGTGCTTTTCGTAACTTGGTCTCTTTCTTGACAGTGAGGAAATCATGTGGGTCTGCTGCGACAGGTTTACGTGAAGGCATTACTTGAGGATTTGATGTCACCAAGTTCCAGTTAATGTCTGAAATGTACTCAGTAATTAGGAGTTCTACAGTATCATGAACCTCTTTACAGTTTTTGCTATGGTTTTTCAACAGTTTGTGGTCATCTTCTGTCCCTGCAGGGAAAACAAAATACCAGTAACTATTTTTTCAATTGGCCTCTAGGAAAAAATTGTAGAGCCAAAAGTTGGTTTAAGCACTTACAAGTATGATAAGAAAAATTTCCAGTGTAGGGTGTTTCAGGATTTTTGAGGTGTATCAACAAAGTAATTAATACACGATATTTGTATACCTTTCTTGACATATTATTGTCAGCAAAAGTACTGAAACCTTGGTTTCAAGCCACACGTTAGTCAAGCAGTAACTTTCCTGTCATGAATAAAGCTGAGGATAACATCAGCTGCACTGTGCCAACTACATTAATTCCTAATGAACAGTTATACATTTATTGAAATACTATCAAAAAAATTTGTACGTGGGCCATTTCTTAGTTTAACTTGAAGCATAATTTATCATAAACAGGTTCAGAGGTTTAACTCAATTGCAAGTTTCAAATTCCAAGATTCAAAGGTTCATGTGCTTGGAACATTTTAGCCAAATAGCTCATGGTCTTGTGTGTGATCAGAAAAATCAACATGATGTCCAGAATGACCTTTCTTAACTGCCTTCAGCTTTCAAACTAATTGGAGACCCTGGCTTAAAACTAATTTTCTACATCTTACCATTACAAAAAGTTGTGTTATTATCTGTTACTCCTTGTGAGGAACCCACTACAATCTCACTCAAAATATAAACAGCTTGCTTCTGGTACAGCTTTGATTCATGAAACAAGTCAAGGAAGTGATCAACCACAAGAGGAAGGTTGCCATGGTAACCAATGGTACGACAAATTTGGTTCACAGCCACCTTAACTTTTTCATCTGTGAAATGCTTGAAGTGGTATTTTGGATATGTGCTGGCTGTGAACTGGTTTACTGGGTATGACATTGGGTTTTGTCCTTCAGTCTCTGATGGTAGAACTGCTGTTTCTGACAAAGATGGTGTTTTTTCTTCTACAATTCCCACATCACCAACATCAAACTCTAGAACCTGTAAAAGTTTGAAGGATGAAATTTAAAGTAAGACCTGTTTTTGGGTTTCCATAGTGCTCTGCTATTTTAAAGAAAGGACTAGCTGTGCTGTAAATTTATTCTATCTTATAAAAAGGTGGAATAAAAGTGTTGTTGCCTCATGAAACAAGAATTAAAAAAAAGACTACTCTAAAGACTTGAGATTATTGTCATGAACAAACCTCGTGATATATCCTATAAAAAATACCTTCATTCTAACTTGGCTATTAGTACTGATCAGTTTTTCTCTTAAAAGTGGTTGTGAAAGACTAGACTCCAACATGACATGCTTTGCTTTAACATAAGTCATCTATGGATACACTAATACTGACAGCTTTGACTCACATAACTCTGAGAAGTATCCCCACATGGGAAGGTTTACAGTTCATGATCCCAAACTCTTTTTGCAAGGCACTATAATATGGCGTCACCCTGATCATGTCCACATGTTGTGGCTAATCCCATGGAATGATCTTATAATCTAGACAAAATTTTTTCAGCACTCTCTACCACAATTTTCAGGATCTGCTCCTGAGTTTTGCTAATTTTGATAATTTCAGATTTCATTAGAACTTGAAGACTGTAGAGAGGTAAAACTGCTGTTCCTCTTCATCACTTATTGTTAATATAAAGTATATATCAAAGAAACTTTTTTTCATGACACCTCTATTCTATTCTAAACATTTTGCAAATACACTGTACACATATCAGAATTTTAAAGTTCCTCATACCTGAATCAGGGCAAGGGAAAGTCTCTTCAAATAAGACGAAGAATTCAGCAAGTTATAAAGCCGGTTACCAAGGAGGCTTAAATAACCAAGAACAAGGTTTAGGCTTTGGATTTTTTGAGCATCATCCCCTGTTCTCATGAGTCTAGGAAGTGATGTCAATGCTAAATGAAGATTCTCCTCCAACATGGAGTTCAGTGGGCTGGGACCTAGTAAATTAAGAAATAAAAAAAAATTAATACAAAAAGACAAGTCGATCTATTTTGACTCAGTGTCTAGTAGGCAAATAGTCTGCAAAATCTGTTCAACAACGCTTATAAACAATTAAAAAAACTTATTTGACTTTGGTCATGGATGGCACTTTTCCTTTATAATATCTGGTTTTACACAAAACCATTACCTATAGAAGGCATAACTTTCTGGGGTAAGGGGTAAGAAACTACGGTGCTGAATCTGTGGTGGGTATATGGGATAATTTGGTTCATCATCTGATTGATACTGTATGTTTGCCATCGTATAGAGTTTCTAAAACTGATGTTTTGAGTGTAAGCCCTTAGTCAGAGTGAGGGATAAAACACAAGCTTTTAATTATAAACTTTCTCCTGTGGCCAAATTTATATCAACTCAAATTATCACATGATAGCTATACAGCTTAACCTAGTTTAACTTAAGATAAGATATCATTAAAGCACATTGAACATGAACCAAAAAATGAAAGCATATGGTAAGTGCTCTATTATTGCACTTTTTGGATCAATATCAGTATCTGGGCAACTACCCACCTACCCCTCCCCTAGCCCAACATTAACCCTAACTTGTTATTAATAGACTGTTGTTGGGTTAGGGGAGGGGTAGGTGGGCAGTTGCCTAGATACTGATATTGATCCTACTTTTTCATGTTTAAATCACAACCAGAAAGAAGCCTAATAAGTTTTCTAGCTGTACCAAAATAGGCAAAGCCTAAAAACATAGATAACAGTCCTCACCATTTCCAAGTCTTTCAGAAAGTTTACTTAGGGCTTTTTTACTTAGTGATGCCACTTGTGAATAATCATCCTCAGTCAATCCAACCAAGAGATCCACCAGAGTGGATGCACAAATTTCTAATGAGTCCTTGCAGTTTTCAAGAAGTTTGTCACAGAACTTTGCCAATGAAAGTCGCACTTTCCAGTTAGAGTGTGCAGAAATGATACTAAGTCTTCCAATGACAATTTTTAATTTTTTTCCTGTCTCCTGAAACCATTCTAAACTTCTGTCAACTTTTAACTGCTGCAGTTTATCGTTTCCTTCTGGATTTGAGCTTGAAATTTCTTGTTTTGGGTTTTCTTGTGGTTCATTACACTTATCTGCAGTAGTCAGTGACATAAGTTGTGTAATGATGTCTTTATCCTCTGATTGTTTTATTGGAAAATGCTTATCATTCATCACTAAAGAAAGAACGTCCCCCCACACAGAGATGGCCTGGGTAATAACCACATGGCCTTGTTTAGTGTCTCCTGTAATAATTCGGCATAAAGCTGTTGAAATTCCAGGTACAAATGAAGCAAATGCTTGTGCTACAGAATCCTTGATTGCATCTTGTAATGCGAGCCTGTCATCTTGCTGCTGAGGATCGCTTCCGACCTCTGACTGCCAACCAAAGTTTTCGCTGCAACAAGCCAAATAACTGAGGCACTCAAGGGCACACACTCTTAAATTTCTGGCTTTCTCGTTTCCTGACAATGCCAACAAGATGCTCACTAAATGCCCAAGAACTGGAAGCAGACGTGGTGAATAAAATGCACCTCTAACCACAAGTGATGAGCTCTGGAGAAGGCAAGAGAGACATTTGACGACATTCAGCTTAAGTTCTTCGGGAATGTCAGCCAAGTGACCCGGACCCCCTTCCCTTGAACTTAGAAGCATGCACATGTAATTAAACATTTCTTCAAATGTTTTCAGCTGACAAACACGTGCACGTCTAAAGAGAGTTTCGATGCATCCAACAGCTGTTTCTTGTACTTCGTTTGTAGCATTGCCGCTCTGCAAGGCAAGTTTTAGAGGAAACAACACGTACTCTACCAGTTGGGTGAGGTGCGCTGGATTTAAAATCCGTAGTTTAGCCTCCAAATCTTTGATGTTTTGTGGTGAAGGTTCCTTTGAAAGTTTTATACAGACAGGCCGAAGCTCTCTGAATGATTCACTGGGATCAGGAGCCATGATCCGCAACTCGAAAACACAACTCACACTTCTGCCGCCATTTTGATTTTCTGGTACAATGTTTCTATATATGTTGACATGTTGTGTCCCTCTTACCGAGAAGAGGGGATCTGGGTTATAGATTAGAATAGGGGGTGCGGCCGGGGGATGATGAGGGGAGTGGAAATGCCTCCACTAAGAATTAGATAGCCATTGCTTTGCATCGTTATGTTGTAGTTCAATTTATCCTTGGTTCAAATTTTATTTTACTTTGTTTCAAACTCATTATCATACATTACAATACCCAAAAACAAAAGAAAGGCACATTTGAACCAAGGATAAAATTGAACCACAACAGTTACACTGAGCAAATCTGACTCCATCCTTGTGGGGAGTTACTGCCTTTTGTAAAAAAATGCCTGTATAGGAAAATAGAAATGTGCTTACCTGCTGCCTGGGAGAATTTCTGGGAATAAATGTGGAGGGTAGCAGCTTGGCCTTCTGCCAGATTACTTGTCATTCTTTGGTTGGCAGCTACAGTTATAAACTCAAGAAATGATGCCTAGCCACAGATGAAATCTAGGTAGCACCAGCCCTTCATCAAGGATAATTCCCAAAACGTTGGCTTTTTAAATTCTGGTAGGGTGGTTTACCTTCCTTTATCAACCAACCTCTTAGCAGGACACCTTTTATTACTAACATTTGCATTTGCATTGCGGTGGCCAAGTTCATATGTTGTCTTAGCTTGTCCAAACGGTGACCCTGCTGTAAGTGGTAAAGTTTTCAAGAAGGTCTTGCCAAGAATGTGATCTATTGCCCATCCATTTTCCAAATGTAACACAAACAATGAAGAATGTAATTGTAGTGTTTGTTCCTATTTGGATAAATACTTTAGCTATTACATAATCTTTATTCTATTGGTTTGCCCACCCTTGAACACAGTCATGTGATAATGCTCAATATCATCGTGTGTAATAAACTCCATGGTATTCTAATAAAGCAGTTGTGTAGAGCACTTGGTCTGTGCACACTTTACTCCAAAGTGGTATATAATGAACCCTAATACACAACAGTGATGACTACCACTTTACACAGATCAATTCACACTCAGATCTTTGAACACAACAAAGCCTCCTTTAAAAAAAAATTTATCAGTTTTTATTTACAATTTCAGGTCTTAAAACTATGCAGTCATTGAAAATTTCTCCTTGTGTGTCCATTCCACCAAACACCAACAGTAATATCTCTCTATCCTTTTCTTCTGCAGTTTCAGCTGTACTGTCACCTGATATAAAACAACAGATAACAGAAGACTGTATTAACTTTTTGTTTTACTCCAGCATTTGCTTGAAACATCTCACACTTTTCTTTATTTAACAAGGACATTATTATGCATTATGCTGTCATAACATTGGTTAATGGAAAATTCACCATTGCTGTGAGTACCTAATGGCTTAGGAATTTCCACTGCACAAAGAGTGTGATCAAGTCGTGGTGCAGGACTGGGTCCGTCAATTGATATCTGTGTCCATCTTAAGGTTTCTTAAATAAAGAAAAAAGCACATCAGTCATTACCTCAGATATATTTAAATTATTAGAGGTCATAACAATTATACCCTCAACAAATTAGTATACAGTTTTCTGAGACTATTTTCTTTCAGTGGATAGTGAATCTCAGAGTAGTTGTGCAAATAGCTGTTTACTTTAATTAACATTACTATCTAATTGGTCAATGATGGATGTACAAATAGGTTATCGACAACAATATGGGTTTCTGAGTACAGTATTAAAAGATGGATAAAACAGTACAACTTTGAAAATAGTTTGAAAAACACATTGCTCAGTTTGTGTACCACAATCACTGTCTACAATTTTAGGAACATGCTCAAGCATTTTCAAAATTGTTGCAAAGTGTTTCTCCTAATGTGCTCTAAGAAAGTACAGAGTAGCATAAGAGAGTGATTTTCATTGCGGATGTAATAATCAAAAGAATCCCACAAACTGCCTGTGTATTTGTGATTTATGGTCACTTCTAGTGATTTGAAAACTTTTCAAACCATCACGCACCACAAAAACACAAATGGCATTTGCCTTCATGTGTTTCGTACACTAAATAATGAAATGAACTGTAGAGAAAGTGTCTATTCGTCAATAGACAAGTTAAAAAGATAAAATTATCAACCTGTATCTAAAGAATACACATCATCCAATGCAGCTCCCACTGCACTCATTCCACCATGGATAAACACTTTTTTTCCTATGGATGTTGCAGCATGTGCTGTGCGCGAGGATGGGGCATGACCCTTTTGTTGAAGTTTACTCCAAGTGTGATTCACTGAATATAAAGAGATGAGTATAATTTTCAAAAGTACCAGTAAATTGGTTTACATCATCATTTAGTTTCCAATAAAACATATTTCATTCCTAAAAATTAATTTTTAATAGTTTATTGGGCTTGTCATTTGATTCTTTAGGATCTCATTCAATGAATGACGAAATTGATAAATTACAAAGCAAAGGTCATTTTCTCCAGGAAAATTTCACCAGCAGCTGGCACTTAGCCCCAACACTGATGGAGTATTATAGGTTTCCTCTTACCAGTGTCAAATTTATAGAGATCATCAAAGATATTGGTGCCAGCCATTCCACCATGAATATAGATATAAATTCCGACTGCCACTGATATGTGACCATGTCTGGAACATGGAGGATTTCCACTTACATCAGGTTGACTCCAACTGTTGTCCTCTGAAAATTAACAAAAATATAGATATATTAATTCCTCATTAGTAAATTCTGCAGCATTCAGTACCTGCAATTGTTGAGTTGGAACAGTTGTAAAAACACTTTCTTATAAGATGCTCAGTTCATGAAAAATGGGAAAGGGGGTGTGAAGGAGGTGACTGAACAGACACTCCATTTTTTTGTTAACCCTTTACACCCTAACATCAGAATGCATTTTCTCCATACTGTTCTCTATACATCTCCTGAGGTGCTGATAAGGAGAATTTGTTTAACAATCAAAAATGCCTTTAGTTGATGATCATTTCCTCTTAATTCTTGTGAACTAAATGTTTGATTCAGGGTTGATAATGTAAGGAGAAATTGGATGCTGGTCATCCTTAGGGCTCAAAGGATTAATATTATACATGCAATTTGATTGGTTCATACTTATGATCTATGAGAGGACGGACACATGGATGGCATAACAATTGACAATGTTTTTCTTTTTTACCAAATAAAACAAATAGATTGCATGTTGCTGTGTGTCTGTTTCAGAATAGATCACAGAAGACATCAAAATGTGGTTTACAACATTCATGACACACTTGGCTGCACCTCATGTACCACTTTTTAGTTCTTGCCACATACTGACATCCTCTTGTTGTAATTCACAAAACCATATCATATTGAAAAGTTAGTGCAACTAGCCTGGATTCATATACTTTGATGTTGCTGTTTACATAGAAATTATAAGCACAAATTCCAAATAATGCTTCTTAACATGTTTCCACATCGTTCCTGAACTCACCAGCATTAAAAACGTGTATTGCTGCATCAGGAACAGGGTCAGGACCACTTAATCCTCCACCAAACACATAGAACTTACTGCCAACAGATGCCATGCTGTGGCAGGTTCTTGGTGATGGTGTATTTCCATGTGTTTCAGCTGTTTCCCATTTGCCATTTTCTACCAAGTAGTGAAAAAGGCAACTTAATTTGACTGATAATGTTTTAACATCTTTAAGTTATTGACTGCTTTTCTTAACATTACTGTCTCCAACTATGTTTCAATCTTACTACTTGTCATTATTGGTAACTTTAGGTAGAAGCCACAAAACTTTAAACATGAAAAAATCTGTTTGATTCACAGTGTACCCTTGAACTTAACAGAGTTATACACACACTGGTACAAGGTAGTTTTAATTATCAAGTGATAATTTTGGGGGAGTTTTATTTTTTTTCTTTAGACCACTTTTGCAATTGCTAAAAATTTTTTTGAAGCAGTAGATGCCCAATTTTAGAGTGCTAAACTTAATCTTATGTATGAATAGATAAACAAAATAAAAATAATAAAGGAAACAAAACAAAGCAAACTTGGCCAAAATTATACCATCTTAACGAAGCTCTAGTTGAGTGATGAATACATTTTAGAGTAGCTTTATTATCATTACGAGTGCCACGTACCTTGGTCAAGAATTTGAACGTCATTCAAGTTTGTGGCTTGCTGAGCTCCACCAAATACATAAACTTTCTTTTGATCACAATCAGGAATAAAAGCTGAATGTTCATAACGACTGCTAATACCTGGCCAGTCTGGTTTACTCCATTGAAACTTATCTACAAAAATGAAACAATAGCTTAACAACATAGAACGTCTTTATTCCCATATGTTGATTATAAAAACTGTTTTAAATCTAAAGATAACTTCCCTCCAGGTTGAAGAATAACTGGTACTATTACCAAGAGCAATCCTTTCAGGACTTATTGAATATCAGTAAACACATACAATTATACAGTCGAACCTCGATTATCCGGACTCGTGGGGATAATTTTAGGAAGGTTTTTCCATAGGAATATAGGGACTCAAAAACTTTAAAACAAACCTAGATCCAATATATACACATCAGCGAACGATCCATCGGGATTGGCGCCACCAATAACCAACACACGAGGAGGTTCAGAAACGAAATTACATGTGTGGCCTACTCTCACGCATGGGACATCACCTTCAGGCGACAGAACATACCATACGTTTAATTTTGGTGAGTCATTCCTCTCAAGTATCGGAAGAATCTCCATTTGCTGTAATTCCCGATGTTTCTCCTAATGTGTTTCGGTAAATTTAGAACGCATTCAAGTTGCCGCCATTTTGAAACTGAGCCTTTCATAGATCAGCAGTTACTCTTCGAAATATCTCATGGTTTATTTTTTTTCTAGTGCCAGTTTCTTCTCGTTCTTAACGTGGCAAATCCAAAATGGAGCAAATTATCATTGTGTTTACACTTGCTTATGTGCTTGTGGCACTGTGTTTCATAGCACCTCCGAGGGAGTTCGTGAGTGCT